AAATACCTGCACCTCGTGCCTCCTCCACCCCACAGGGACATGGAGGGCCATGTGAGCTCAGGACTTGGCCATCAAAGCCCATGTCTTGTAAAAAGCTGGGCTGTTATTGTTCTGAGGAAAATAATATCCTGCTTCCTCTTTAAACCGTGTATCTCTTTAAACATGTTAAATGGCTGCTACATTCCTGCCTTTATCCCGGGCACTTTTTACGAGCCTGTACTTCCCTCTCCTTTTGCTTTAACAAGCTGGCTGAGCAGAGGATTAGGGGGATGACTTAGTGCACATGTGCTAAAGAAGGAGGAGGGGGGGGAAAGAAATTCGCCTTCAAAATCTTACATAACCATCAGAAACAAATATGTAAACCAGAGACACGCCCAGGCCCTCTCTGTTTGCACTTAAAAATCATCATCATCATCACCATCACCATCATCATCATCCTGTGGCTGCAGGACTGTGCTCTGAAAAAAATGAATATTTAAATTATTTGGAGACTGGGAATACATAGCAGTGTGTGATTACATTTCTGCCACACACTTACATTAGGATTGTTTGTCTCACAAAAACACACAGGGTTTGGGGTTGGGGTTTTTTTTTTCCCCTGCAGAAAAAGAACATACCCAACCCCCTGCCCTAAACAGGAACTGGATCCCTGGTGATATCTTCCTGTGCTGTCCCTATTTATAGAAGGAAGGTCACCCAAATAACAACAGAAATGGTATCAGATGATTTTTTTTTTTTTGGTGACCAAGTGAATCCCGCACATGGAGAATTCCGAGGGGCACAGCCCCACATGGAAAACCATTGGGAAGAACTCCTCACTGTGGCCGTTTTTGTGTGGAGGAAAACTGTGGAATTCGGGTGTCTTTCCCCGATCAGGTGATGAGATGGACAGAAATCTCACTTGCAGGACTTTTCTTCAACGTGCAACTGTTTGTTGAAAGCCCAAAATAGACACGTTTCATTTGTTGCACGGTTGGTGGCACAAACAATTGATGAAAACTGCCAAAATTCAGGAATCTCTGAAGGTCACTTAGATGGGCAGCTGGGAAACAAACATGCACAGGAAAATGTGGGAATGTTACTGTGTGTGAAGAATTTTGAACAGCTTCCCTGGAGGTGTTGCTGGGTTTGAATTCAGGACCTCTCACACCATGGCTGAGCTTGACACAAAAACTAAGGGAGGAGTTAATATTGAGCTTCTGACCTGGTCTGTGCCTGGACTGACACACTGCTTCACATCTAGAAAATCCCTATTTTTTTCTCATTCCCTGGAGGCAACAAGCATTTTGCTGTCTGTTCTTTTACCATAAACCAACAAAGATGGAAACAGTCAAGCCTTAAATAGATACATATACCTATTTGAATATGTATTTACATAAATACATATTTTATGCACACAAACAAGCAAAAAATAAAGGTGCCTATTTTATATTTGTAAGAAAAAAGCTCTGTTTGATGGCATCCTTCTTTCAAACTCCTCTGGCATAAATTATGATCTGTAATTCCTATCTTATCATGTCAGGCAGGCCTTTGAACAGAACCTAACTAGGAGAGCCAAGTATTCCATCATGTTTCATGCCATTTCCAAAAAAAATCAGTATTTACACAGCTAAATATTTTATGGGCCAGAGATTCAGGGCTACTTGAGATGATGAATTCATCCCTCCAAGGGGTTTTGTTCATGGGGAAGAAGTTTGTCTGGGCTTGAGAACGAAAGGGAAGGTTTAGTCATTCGTTTTTTTTTTCACAGGCTGCCTCCATCCTTCCATTGCTCATTCACAAATCCCCTGGTGCCTCTGGAGGCAGTTTGTAGGTGGGTCTGAGGTAGAAATGTTGGCATTTTCTCCTGCCTCTGAGAGCAGCAACTCGGGGCAGAACAAGGTCCTCCTCAAAGACGCAAAGCTCAGCTCTGCCCACGGCAGAACTGGCGTCTCTGCTTGGCAAAGTAAAGGAAATCCCTGCTGGGGGCATCGACCCCCTGAAGCCTGCATAGGTTTTTAGTGATAAAATATAATTCAGATAAAGAAATGCCTTTAAAATAGTTCTCTCCCATCCCTTGCTCTTGCACTGTTTGCATTAACTTCTAATTCACAGTTTGCATCAACTGGCAGCCACACACATCTTCCTTTTTTAAGGAAGGGCCTGAATGAAGCTGAGCCATTTTTAAAGTGCTGGACTAGAATCAGAAAGCTGAGCCCTCAGCAGAGGGAGGGTTTCTGTGTGGTGCTTCTGAGACTGCAGGTTCTCTTTATGGTTAATGCATCATTCCCCATTACAGTCATTTCCTCTGAAGTAAATGGGATTTGGCCATTATATTTCTGTTTATTGATATATATTTCCTAGCTGAATTGACATTCCCTTGTGCCTTTTTTTTTTTTTTTCCTCCTTACCCTGAAATTGCAGGAAGCCAAAAATCCTTCAAGAGAGAGGAGTTCAGTTGTGTAGCACACAGAGCTTTGTGCTCTCCCATCACGTGGGCTGGGGTTGAAATGCCCACCATTTACACATTAACATGGAAACCAGGGCAGCAACACCAATTTGCTGGAATGTTTTGGGCCCAGGGGTCAACTGTTTAGCTGGGATGTGCTTCCCAGCAATATTTTGGTCCTGTTTAACCAGTGATTGAGTGGAGAAAGACTCTCCTTACGACTTGGCTTTGAAGAGAGGCTGAAGAACCCAATGCATCTGATTCTTTGTGGTGGCTACAATGCTGCTGTGCATTTGGAGGACACTGCTATCAGGATTTTCTTTGCCCTGCCCTGAAGTCTCCACCTGCAGCTGAACAGAGCTGTCTGTCCCAAAGGGTCATTACGTGTTGCTGTGTGAAATGATTCCCCTGCGCTTCATCTCACAGGCAGCAGAAATCAAGAAATGGAGGAATTGGGGGGCTCAAGGGACTGGTAATGCTGCACAAAGCTTTTCATGTGCTCCCTCAACCCACCTGCCATTTTTGCATGACCAGGAGTGGTTACTGTGCGATGCCATTTGGTAGATTCTGAAAAATAAGTTATTTTCTTCCTTTTTCATGTTTTTTCTGGGCTTCACCTGGGTCATAAACCCGCTTTTTTACCACTTGCTACAATGCTACAGCCAACACTTGCTCTGCTACCCAGCATGAGTAAATCTGAGCCCCCAGTCACCTAATTAAGTGACCTGATTTTCTCAGGAGCAGAATATGCCTCCCAGCTCCCACTGCACTCAGCAGTTGTGAAAATCAGGCCGTTTTTGTATAAGCTGTGACTAGTTTTGAGTACTCAACTCATAAAAAGTTGATCTTGGCCTGGGAGTTGGAAGATGAGCCCTCTCCAAGTTCTGGCTGCAGGGGAGAGTATTTGGAAGGGATGCAGAGGCCATCAGTCACCATCACCATTCCCTGCTCTACATGAAAAAAATAAGGAAAAAAAAAAAAAGAGAAGAGCATCTTAGTTTGAGGTCTCCTCCAGAAATCCGTGCTGGGGCCTGGGGAGAGGGAATCCCGAGGGAGATCCTGCTTGGCAGCAGAAGGAACTGCTCATTTCCAGGCCAGGGCTTTGCTGGGAGGGCAGCTGGAAGTCACTGCCTTGGGTTTGACACAGACACGTTGCAGAAGGGATGGTTTGGACACTTTAAACCTGTTTATTGCCCTGGGATGGTTTGGACACTTTAAACCTGTTTATTGCCCTGTGTTTTAAAGAGCACAAGCAAGAGGGGAGGTGAACAAAAGTAACAGAAATGGGTGAGAAACCAGGCTAGGGAAAATCCAGCCTGCCTGAGAGGTTCCCACCCTCTGCAAGTTGCTGGGAAGAGCTTTATTTTTTTTTTTTCTTTTTTTGGCTCTTTGCTCTTGCCTGAGCTACTTTTCAAAGCAAAGCAGTGGCTGCTTTGCATAGCACAGCTGAGGCAAGGTCAGCAAGATGAACACCCCAACCTGCAGTGTTCACCACACAAGAGCTGCCCTTCAGGAGGCAGGTGCCTCCAAGTGAACACTGGCAGATAAGGGCAGCAAAACCCTTCAGGAGGAAGTATTTTCATAATCACACATTTGCAATACTCACCCCCCCCCCTTTTTTTTTTTTGTTTTGGTTTGGGTTGTTTTTTTTTCAGCAGCAGCATTATCTTTCTGCCTTCCTCTTGCTCTCAAAATGAGCAAAAATATGTGTATTCAAGGGGTGGGGAAGGCCAAGGCAGAGCTGAAACACAGCTGAGTCAACAACACATGTCCAGGAGTTGGTGGGTGACGCTGCATGAACGTCCTCCATGGCTATCAGGGTGCTTTGGAAAGCTGTTGCTGCAGACAGGGAGGGTGGCACAAGCACAGAGGGTGTTTCTGCCATTTGGATTCCGGGTGAATTCCTCCCTGATCCACAGCTGCGTTTCAGTGCTGATGCTGAGCCTTTGGAAAACACTGTTCCACGTTTGGGAGTTGAACAGCACTGTGTCAATCTGTCCTGCAACTGGAAAACTTGCAGAACAGGAGACTTGGGTCTTCCCATCTGGAGTGAAAAGGGATTTAGAGGTGTCTTGGAGGGGGGAAAAAAGCAGAAGAGCTGTTTCTGTGTAGCAAGGACTGAAGGGAACTGTTCTAACCTCGAAAATCTCTGGTTTGTGCCCTCTCGTGGCAGTTGAGTTTTTCTTGTCCTCAGTGCAACGTCTGCACTTTCAGACCCAAACCTTTGGGTTTTCATGGGGAAACGACCATCAGAAAGGTCACTGAATGCCAATATCCAGTGCTTCACTGTCCATAAAACGAGGAAAACATGGAAAACCCAGAAGTCCATATCTCATACTTTGCCCTGGCCAAACGACTCTGCCCTTTAAACAGTTTGCAGGAATTTGGCAGGTGGCACATCCGAAAAAAAAAAGCCCCAGGGCTGAGAGAATCAGTCTGGAAAGGGTATCCCACAGCTTTCCAAACACACTGTTACAGCCCTTCTCACAAGGAAGGTCCAAGGAATATCTCTGACAGGAGCCCTACAAACCAGCAGCACTAAAACACTCTTTATTTTGCTTTCTCTCTCCAGACAAAAAGCACTGGCATCGACAGGTGGAAGAAGTGTTCAAGCAGCATGCGACTGGTTGGTATGAATAAATGTTAAAAAGTAAAAGAAATTAGTGAATTTAAGATTTCAGCCATTAGAAAGGGGGATGTAAAGCAGGGTAATCATCTGAAAAGCACCTGCAGAATTCAGTGAAATGCTATTTAAGTGCTGTAAATAAGCAATCCAGCAAGGAGCCTTGTCTGAGGGAGTTCGTGGTCTCCAGTAAAAGCAGAAACAGATGAGAGAAAGAACCCCCCACTATCTGCAGCTGATGAACAGAAAGCTGAGAGCTGCCTTTTCAGAGATGTTGAGCAATTCCCAGCTCTCTCCCCACTGAGAAGGCAGAAAGGCAGAAGCAGTGACCTGGGTTGGATCTTCAGAGCGTCAGCCTGAAACCAAACCCTAATTTTCTGTATTACTTGGCAGGGGAGATGGGCTGGAGGGGGGACAGGGCAGCTCTGCCTGACCTGCCAGAGGTGATTTTTGCCGCAGAGGGAGAACGAACGAGAGCGAGGACAAGGGAAAGCTGGTTTTGCCGGGAGAAAATGTGCCATTGTCTGACAATCTTAACGGTTGTTTCTCCCTCCCAGGCTCTTCTCCCACGTGGGTGACCCGTTCCTGGACGACCCCCTGCCCCGGGAGTACGTCCTGTACCTGCGCCCCACGGGCCCCCTGGCTCAGAAGCTCTCAGACTTCTGGCAGCAGTCGAAGCAGATCTGTGGGAAGAACAAAGCTCACAACATTTTCCCACACATCACCCTGTGCCAGTTCTTCATGGTGAGGCACAGCTCCCTCCCTTGCCTTGCCTGCCTGCGTGGATTCACCAGGCTCAGGGTGGAGCTTTCCACGCTCCACTCGGTCCCTGCACAAGGGTTTGGGGGGCTGGGGTTGAAATTTTGCCTGATGCCTGGGCTTGTTGAGGAGGTAATTGGGTTTTAAGCTGTTGTTTTTAGCCAAGAGCAGCAGCAGAGGAGCAAATTCTCATCATCCCAAGTGATCATTAGCACGAGAATGGATGGGGGGGGGGGGGGGGGGGGGGGGGGGGGGGAGGTTGGGAAGGTTACTTGGGGACAGCTGATCCCGCTTCGAGGGTGAGGGAGGGGCAGGGGGTTTCTAAACAGGGATTTTTCTGTGCCCCCCGTGCTTTTTTCACTGTGATACAGCCAAGGTAGGCAGTTCACACCCCCACCACCCACTGCTTTCCTTTCCCTGCCTGACAAGTGCCTGCCCTTCCCCTCCCTTGGCAGTGTGAGGACAGCAAGGTGGATGCTCTCACAGAGGCCCTGCAGGCCACCGTGATGCGCTGGAGATGCAAATTCCCCGCCCCCCTGCCCCTGGAGCTCTACACATCCTCCAACTTCATCGGCCTCTTTGTCAAGGAGGAGAGTGCTGAGGTGCTCAAGAAGTTTGCTGCAGACTTTGCCGCAGAGGCGGCTTCTAAAGCAGGTGAGTGGCCAAGCTGGGGCTGCCCAGAGCCCGTGGCTGTTTTTGGGGCACTGTCACTTTGGGTGCCACCAAGCTCATGGAGCTGGTTTGTAAGTGAGAACTAAAAGCCTCGAGAGGAACAGCCCAGCAGGTGCTTTGGGTTTCAGTGCCCTTCAGCCGAAAGATCCACCTCGCTCTCGACCTCCTCCAGCGTTATCTCCTGGAAGGGAAGTTGACATTTGGTGGTTCCTTAACCTTTCACGTGGCTGCTCTGTCTGCTGGGTGTTTCCTGCTCCCCTCCCCGCCTCAAGCCACCGCCACAAAACTTTCCTTGACCGTTTCGAGGCCGTGCTTGTTTTCTCACTGCATTTCTGAGGTGGAAAGAGGACTTGGAGAGGAGTCCTCAGTCCTGAAACGTCTGGCTCTGTTGTCTGGTCCTCTGCTGCTTGTGGAGAGGGAAGTAAACAGAGCACCCTGTGCTCCCTCCACTGCTGAATAGGCTCTTTGGGTGTCCCCCAGTGACCTCCAAACTCAGAAGAGCAAGGGAGCACTGGAACAGCTCCCCCACTAATCCTCCCACCCTCCATCACTGCAGGTCTCAGCCTGGGCTGGTCACAGCACAACTGGTTTAGTCTTTCACTGTCACAGGCTTAATCTGGAGCTTAAATGCATCAAGATGCAGCAAATTCTGCGTCCCTGGGGTGTTTCCCTGCTGGACAGACATCCCATAACCATCCAGAACAGCTACAAGTCTCTGCCCCTGGTTCAGGGGAGAGATCCAGATGTGCTGTAGGCTCACCGCAGCCCTGAAATTCATTGCTTTCACCCAACAATGACCCAGAATTTTCCTTCCTTTTAGAAGAGGGAGGGAATGTTATCTTTAAAAATGCACATTTTTAGGCAGCGACGGTCACAGAGACCTTGGGCAGGTCCAAGGACGCTGCAGCCACGTGAGAGAGGGACAAATGATCCCCTCCAAATTGTTCCTCAGACACACCCTCCAGTCAGAGGGGCATTTCTTACCCCCAAAAAACACTGACCCAGAAGAAGGAAGCACCCACAGCTTCCTAAAAGCTTCTGCTCCAATTCAGACCAAATTGGTTCTTTTTTTTGGGGGGGGAAGGCAGTTGCTGCATTGCAGCCCCCACAGCTTGGGCAGGTTATCACATTAAAGTCTCTGGGGCTTTTTCAAAACATGTTTTTCTTTGCTGATCAAAAAAAAAAAGAGAGAAAAAGATGGATGGGCTTGCAAAGCTAACCCTGGCTGGCACTCGGAGCCAAGTCTCTGAATCGCTGCAATTTTGACTGAATAATCAGTCAAATTTAATTGCAATTTTTGGTTGAATAAGCGAGAATAAATTACATGCAAACAACGTATCCTATGATTTCCACATCTTCTGGAAGAGTCCCAGTATTTCACACACTCTCACCTTTCTGCTTCCTGGAATCTTTTCCTAATGCAGGTTCTTTTTTTTTTTTTTCCCCTGCAGGATCATTTTGAATCATTATTATATCAATGTCTGTTTCCACAATCTGGGAATACCTCGCCCTCAGTGGCTAAACTGATAATCCAACTAATGCCCAGGGAAAAGATTTAATCAACCTGCATGAACCTGTAGATTCCATGGATTTGTAATTGCTGCTGTGGCAGAGAGAACAAAGGAGGGAGAGTAAAAATTACTCTTTTTCACTTGCTTATTTTTTTGAAAGATCCTCAGCTGCTCAGGAAAGCCTACCAAGTTACCTGGAAATTTGTCTTTTTTTTTTGGTAGTGTGTTCAGAAGGGCAACAACTGTTACCACACCACCCAGGAACCTGTTGTTGGGCAGTTGGGCAGGGCAGCCTTGTCTCCCACCCTGCTGTGACTCAGGGCTGAGCCAGCCCACAAACCTCTAATAATTTGATTAATTTGATCCAAGGTGCAATATAGAGAACTCACATTTGGCTTCCTCAGAGCCTGTTCAAAGTGCCCTGCGGTCTGTTCCTCTAGAGTGTCTTCCAAAGCTCATCTCCTGGCAATTTTTGTGACATTTTTGCTCCCCCCCCTTCCATCACCGCTCATCTCGCACTCAGGGGTCGCTCACCCACGTCTTCTCCTTGCAGATGTCCACGTGGAGCCCCACAAGAAGCAGCTCCACGTGACACTGGCCTATCACTTCCAGAGCAGCCACCTGCCCACGCTGGAGAAGCTGGCCCAGAACATTGATGTCAAGCTGGGCTGTGACTGGGTGGCCGCGATCTTCTCCCGAGACATTCGCTTTGTTAACCACGAGGTAAAGTTCTGAAAAGAAACCCAAACTCACCAGCCATCTGAACAAACAGACCTTCCTGCCTGTTCTTTACACTCGTGCTGTCCAGACTTGCTGTTTCACCCACCTCATCCCTTGCTTCTTGCAGCAACAGTGTCCTGCTGGATTAATTAATTCTAATAATGACTCTCCTGTGAGCTCAGCATAAACTGGTCTGATCTCTCCAGAACCAGACCAGTATTTTAACCTGACCAGTATCCAGTTTTACTGTACAGCCTGGACTTTATATTATTAACCACAGCACTTAGTTCCATCACGTAAGAAACAATTTGCCCTCATATATTACAATTATTCAGATGGATTCTATAACTGCAGTATTTAAGTCTCTTAAGACAGTTCCCTTAATAATGCTGTTTTTCACGTAACACACAGAAAAACAATGTTAATTCCATTTAGCAGATTGGGATCTTGGGCACTGAGAAACCACACGTGAGATTCATCTCACCTCACTTGTAAATACCCAAGTGAGACCTGCAGTCTGAGGCTCAGTGCAGAGGAACAGGCACCTCCAGAACACGAGACATCTGACCCATCTGAGATGTCTATCTCAGGATGAATCAGTGTCTGGGGGAGGGAACCTCCAGAAGGTGCTTGCTCAGCTCGGGTGTTTAACTCAGCTCCTAAGGTTGGGGTGATCAGCCCCATCAAGGTGCAACGCCCACAGCCAGACCCACAAAACCTGTGGCAGAGTGGGAAAAAGCAGTTTTTCACACAAATACCAGGGCTCCTGGAGAGCTGGCACGTCTCTGACCCAGCCCTGGCTGTGCTTCCACGTGTGACAGCCTCCTTCCCTACCCAGAGAGTCCTTGTGTCCTTCAGAAGCTTCACACAGTCACCAACACTATTGCTGATGGCAAAGGCAGTTGCTGATGAAACCCAGCTCCATCTTTGCATATCTCACTTCAGGCAGCCACGTGTGAAAGTTTGGGCCTTGTGATGTCAGGTGACAGTGACTCGTTTCCATCTTCCTCTGAAGATACCACATGTAGTTTGGAAGGGTTGGTGAGGGCTGACACCACCAGGACAGCAGGGCTGCTCAGCAGATGAGGGGTTTTCTTCTTTTCTGAAACGATGCAGAAGTTATTCATGGCCAAGGGTCAAGAACACATCTGTTCTCCTTTTAAACTGGGGACTGTTGCAGCCATTTCCAAGGAAATTTAATGGTAGGCATTTAATACATGTGGATTCCTCATGCTCAAGTGGAGATCACAGACCTACACTCACCCATCTTTCTCCCACCTTTTAACTTAATCCTGCTCATGTCAGGAAATACAAAGAAAAACAGTGTGGCCACATCCCAGCCTTTCTCATCACCTGTGGCTTTTTCCCTGTGCAGTCCCATGAACAGCTTTGGGAGCAGCAAGTCACGAATTCCCAGGAGTATTCTGCCCTGTCTTCAAAAGCAACAGCAACAAGAGCTGCTCTTTCAGATCAAACGTGTGTAGGTAAATCAAAAATGGTCACTGACCACCAGAGCTGTCTAAATTCCAGGTCCCAACAAGAATTCAGTTCCATTTTAAACAGGTTTAAGCACACAGTCATGATTTTGCTCAGTGTAAAAAATCATCCCCCTCGCCTTTCCCTCCTGGTTATCAAAGATGCAACTGGAATCAAAGAGGGAAGAAGGAGCCAATACCTAGAAAGGCTTTCCAAGAGCAAAGAGGGGGAAGCAGCAGGGATTCCCTGAAGGGAAGCTTTCCTGGAGGAAGCAAAAGGAGAGCTGTTCACACCTTGCTGGGCTTAAAGGTGTGCTGCCCTTCCCTTAACAACCCTCTCATCCATTTCTCCCCCCACCCAGACTCTGCAAGTGATCTACCCCTACACCCCCCAGAACGACGATGAGCTGGAGCTGGTGCCGGGGGATTTCATCTTCATGTCCCCGGTGGAACAAACCAGCACCAGCGAGGGCTGGATTTACGGCATCTCCCTCGCAACCGGCTGCTCGGGGCTGCTGCCCGAGAATTACATCACCAAGGCGGATGAATGCGGCACCTGGGTGTTCCACGGGTAGGTAAGAAAGCTGCTCAGCAGCTGGGATTCCACCTGGGTGAGTGAGGAGGCTGCCAGGGCTGCTGAGAAGGTCGCTGGGGGAAGAGGAGCTGGCACACAAAGCCCCGTCCCAGATGCTGCCCCCGGGGCGTGGGATTAGAGGACAGTGGGGCTTTTTTAGCTGAGGTGTTGCAGCAGCTATTTATCACTCGCAGGATCACTGCTGGAGCAGATGGCTGCTGCAGGCACTGCTGTGGAGACATCTCTGTGGTGGGACCAGGAGCAGGAAGGTTTAAATCTGAGCATTAATTTGGGAAGGGACGTCTTCTGTGGAAAAGGATTTGGGATCAGCAACATTTCTTAGGGTACTTAGCAAGATTTTTCAGAAGGCTTCAGTGAGAGTGCAGCCCTCACCTTTTGAATGAGATTATGCCTTATGCCTCTTGATTTTGGTGGGAATTAGTTAAACAGTGATTAAAAAAATAGTGCTTGAGCATTTACCAAAACCACTGTGACACACCCAGAAGAAATCTCTTCTTACACAGGGGCTCTCCACAGGGAATATCAGGTTGTGGAATGTCATGTGGCCAAAGCCATACAGCAAACTAAGGACAACCCACCACGGTACTCATGGTAGGATGGTTCCCTGCACTGCTTTTCCATTACCAGCAAAGCCAGAAATAGTCCCTTCCTGTGCCCCAAAAAGGCCAGGAGTGCTGGGGATGTTACACCACAGTTTATTCCAGCCCCTCGTGAGATACCAAAGCCATTCCTTGCCCCTTTAATAGTCCTGAGAAATCAGACTTGGCACAAGTGCCAGGGGAGGGAGAACAGCCCTGATTTTTCCAGCTATATTTGGACCTGAGGAGGTTCCCCCCCCCCCCTTTCTTCCCCCTGTTTCTGCAACAATGGCTGGTTCATTTTCCACAGCGATCCCTCTCCTCTGGATGGTGATGAGGGATGTGGCAGAGGAGTCTTTCCCTACCCAGAGCTGAGGGCCAGCTGTGACAGAGACCCTTTCTCCATCCTCTCCATGTACCATCTCCACTCTCCAAGGGGCCTTTTCCTGTTGCCTCCAGGGATACAGGGATCTCCCTGACAGAGCAGTGAGGACGAGGCATCATCCAGAAGACAGGGGATATTGTTGTCTGCCTTCAGCCTCTGTTTGCCTCCTTTTTCCCCTTTGGGAAAAGTTTCCAAACAATGACCTATGCTTAGAAGATGACTAAGCTGAAATAGTTTCAGTGGTTTCTGTTTTCCAGCAGCATGAAGGAGGTAGAAGACAAGCTGGTGGCTCTTCTCCAGGCACAGCAAGATGGGGTGCCTTTGCCTCATCATCATTCCCATCTATAAATAGGTGCTGAAGCATTTGTGGCCTTTCAGTAAGGGCTTAGAGAAAGAAGAAAGTCTCAGAAATTGTGTGGCAGCTCCTGGGGGCAAGGGAAGAGAGGCAGCCAAAAAATTCTTAGGGTTCTCCAGACCAGTGTCCTTAAAAATCTGTCATGTGGGAAAGGGCTGAGACAGGATGAAAGGCTGGAAGAGGATTCACTTTGTACAGCAATAGAGATGGGTCTGGCTAAGAAACTGAGATTTTTCTCATATTGAGATACCAAGTTTTGGGGTCAGGGAGGATGGATCTGTGTTGAACCTTTGCCTGAGAGGAAAAGTTCTTTGGAGCGGGACCGGCCCCTGTTGGAAAAACTCACCATGAATAAAATAAATACAGTTAAAATAAACTGCAAGGTCAGTGCTGAAGGCTGGAGAAACTATCAGGACCAACAAGGAGGCATTTTTTTCTCCTTTAAACTGGTGCAAATCATGTGATCTCACAAATCAGCTCTTAACAAAAATGCAGGTGACCCATTTTTGTTCCTCTGGCAGAGGCACTCAGTGTTATTTTAACAGCTGTGGAGCCCCCCTGAGATTTTATCCTATCTAGGTGCCATCAGGAAGCAACTGCTGACATATTTAAGGCACTGAAAAGTGCAGTCACTAGCAACTATTTCTGTCAAAGCAAATGGCCACATACATTACCTGCTGATGTTCTTTTCTTAATGACTAAGCAAAGGTAACACATCCAATGTGCTGAGTCAGCAGAGGGTCACTGCAGCTTCTGTAATTGCCTGTCAGGGTTTAGTCCCGAGGGTTTTGGTCAAAGTCCTTCAATGTTTGGGCTTTATTCAGGGGCACCATCATCAGAGAGAAACCCCTCGAGGCAGAGTGGGATCTGTCACCTCCATTTGGCTGCACTGAACTGGGAGCACTGGTGAGAACAAACTCCCATGGAGGGAAAAAAAAAGGATAATCAGCACTGGGAAATGTAGAAACCACAACCCAAGCTGACAGTGGCAGGTCCCTACCAGGGGGGTAAGAGCTATTTTGTGCCCAGGGGGAGAGGCAGGGCTGAGCCCCAGCAACAGCTTGTGCTGCAAAGGTGAGGGAAAACTCCCTGCAGGCTTCAGTCCCCGAATTTTGGTCCACAAGACCAGGGTCAGTGACATGCAGCTGGTCTCCAGATGATGTTGGGGAACATCCTGTGGTGGTGAGGAAGGTCGTGGCACTTGCATGAGAATATTCAGAGCCTCGCAGACCAAAGTTTGGGAACTGTTGTTCCATAAACTGTTTCCAAGGAAACAGCCTGTTGAGGTGGAATTTGTCTTTTCACGCGTGCAGATCACTTAGCCAGGTGCTCTCTGGGCACAAATAAGAATAAAACATGAATAATAACGAAAGAACGTGACAGCAGCGATTATCAGCAGGTCCTGAGGGCTGCAGAAATGCCCTCAGAGCAGCCTGAGCACACCAAGCATGCCCAAAGCCAACAACATCCTCCTGTTTTTGGCAGGTCCTACTCGATTCTGAATACCACATCCTCCCCATCCCTTCAAGGCTTCATGGATGGAGCTCTGGAGAGAAGACAGCAGGAGGACCAAGGACCTGGGGATGCAGGGCCACTCACCATCATCTGCCAGAACGTGCAGGTAGGGACCCCCACACCCCTAAATCACACACAGCCCTTAGGGACAAGCTTCCAGCCACTGGGTTTTCCAAAAAAAAAAAAAAAAAAAAAAACCACAACTATGCCCTGGTCTCTTTTCATTACCTGCAGCTCAAGTTCTCTGCAAGCTTTTGAATGGCACAATTAACCACAGTTAACCACAATGTCTTCTTAATTGAAGACATTGCTGTCCCCAAACTGGCTCTTAAGAGGGGGTGCTCCCTTCGGCAGTTTTTACACCACCATAAATTTACCAATATTATAAAGAGTTTCATAAATCCATAAAAAATCATAAATGCAGAAGACTTTCCTGTAGCGGGCAAAGCAAGAAGTGCCTGCTCTTGACTCCCAGATCTCAGCAAACCCCTTGCACTTGGATGAAGGTCAAATATCCTGTGATTTCCCTTCCAGCCCCTGAGGATAACCAGCCAGCCAGGGCCTCAGAAACGCTGCCTGTTTGTCTGCAGGCACGGGGAAAGGATGGATGTGGTTTTTGGGAAGTACTGGTTGTCCCAGTGTTTTGATGCCAAAGGTGAGTCTGCTCTGGGGTCTCCCAGCTTTAAGAGGGAGGAAGGAGTGGGGGGAAATCTTAGCCTGTGGTTTCCTAACACAGATTGATGTTTTTTGGGGTGGCAGGGCTGCAGTCAGAAGCAGAAACAAATGCAGCCATGATGTTAGTAATCAGTGTTCAGGGAAAACATTCACTGCCATCAGGAAAATATTTTCCACAGCTGGCTACCAGTGCTAAATGAAAATAACTCCACTACAGGTACAGCTCAGAGAGGCTTTTGGGGCAAAAACTGGTGTTTTCAACTCAGTAATATGCTTGGTTTCAGACTTTAATTAAACTGTAAGTCCAGGCTTTGTTGCCATTAGAACTGATCAGAAATTTGTCCAGAAAGTCTTTTTTTATATTTAAAACATAGAAATCAATGTCTTGTAGCCAAAGGATGATTCCACAACTGCCTTCTTTCCAACCTCTGGCTGCAGAGCTCTGACATTTCAGCCTCCTTTAAGAGTGTAACACTCAGGGGGGAAAACTGTGCTAAAGGTAACTTTAAAAGCAACATAAATGCTGCTGTTTCACTTAATTATGGGAGATCCCTGGTGGTTTTACCTGGGGAAAACTGCTCAAGAGCCAGGGCAGCACCTGCAAGATGTGGGTGGGTGGGAGAGAGCAGGAGAAGGTGCGATGCTTCTGTGTCCCTCTGAAGGAATAATTCCAGCTTGGACCCTTTCCCTCCAGGAAGGTACATGCGCAGTAACCTGAATATGCCTCACAATTTACCTCAGAGAAGTGGTGGATTCAGGGATTACGAGAAGGACGCTCCCATCACCGTGCTGGGCTGCACACAGGCAAGGCTGGTTGGTGAGTCCTCCTCAGAAAAGAGCTTTGAAGCTGAAGGAGGGGAGGTTTGGATGGGATAATTAGGAAGAAATTCTTCTCTATGAGGGGGCTTTGAGGGATGCAGAGACACAAGGAAGAGGTGGAAATTTTGAGGGGCAACTCTTCTGCCTTGAACTCCACACAGTTTAAGCACAAGAGGGTCTGGTGGAGCTGTTGGAGCAGGTCCTGAGGATGCTCTGAGGGCTGGAGCTCCTCTGCTGTGCAGGGTGAGAGAAGGTTCCAGGGAGACCTGAGAACCCCTTGCAGGGCCTAAAGGGGCTCCAGGAGAGCTGGAGAGGGAACCTGGGACAAGGGATGGAGGGACAGGACACAGGGAATGGCTTCCCACTGCCAGAGGGCAGGGACAGATGGGATATTTGCCAGTGTTCTCCCCCCCATCCCCACCCTCCATCCCCGTCCCTGACTTTGTGCAGAGACACAAAACCATTTGGTAGCCAAAGAGCAGTTGCTGAGTGCTGTGCTCAGGGCAGCCTCAGTGCTCAGCACTCCCTCAGCTTCAGCTCCTCCAGGGCGCTTCCCCTTGGTCCCATCCAAAGTAGGGCAGCTAAAATTACACTTGCTTCTTTAAAGCAAAACAAATCCCAGTGCAGCAGCAGCAGCAGGATGCTGGGGCTCCACGTGGCACCGGGGTTTGCAGGGTGCCCATGGCAGCAGGGCAGTGTGGGAGCAGCCAGAGCACACTTTGCTGGTGGCACTGGAGGGGGCTGAGGGCACGACTGCAGCTGCAGGTGTGACCTTGGTGGTGCTGGAGCCGTAATTCCTCTGATGGATGAAGCCAAAGAGCAGCTTCCCCAGGAGGAAAGGGTGGTAGATCCCCCCTAAATTACCCTTCTCCTTCTAAATTACCCCACTTCTCTTGAGAGATTTACAGGTTACAGCCACTGGAGCCGAGGTCAGCCACCCCTGCTTGCTCCCACTCCTTCGCCCTGCATGTTCAAAAGGAGCAAAAATGTAATTCTTGCTTCCTACAAGCCTGTGCAGATCCCTGTTCTCCTTTGGTCCCCTTAGGCATTGCAAGAATATTAATAACCCTGATAGTGGAGCTGATTCTTATCTCATTTTCGGTGATCTCCCACCTGTGTAATGAAATGGTAATTTATACTAGAGAGGAGTGGAGCCAATTGAATTAAGCTGGGTTCGAGTTTGGTTGGATTGCTCTGATTTACAGCTTATAAACGAAATGAAATCAAATCCAAGCCCTCTGAGCACTCTGGTTGCTTTTTGGCAGGACCTGAGCAGCTCCTGGCTGGGTGGCTGCACTTTGCTGTGCCACTTGTCTCGTTTTACTCACAGGAGGTAAAACTTCCTTGCAGGTGAAGCCTTGCTAGAAACCAACACCATTGTAGACTACATCTACAGCTCCCCATCCCTGAGGTGTGTACAGACAGCACACAACATCCTGAAAGGTGAGAACCCACAGAATTCCTCTCACTGTCTGGGTAAAACGCTGATGTGGGAGACCCCAGGGAGTGGGAATTCAGGGTGAGGATTATCTGCATGGGAATATGTTTTATATCAGCACAAAAAGAACCCTTTTTTAATTGCATGTAGCTGCCAGCCAGAGGTTTACGTTCCCTGGCATATCCTCTGTCAAGTGCATATCTTAAATATTTCATCTTCCATATCCATTATTAATCAACTGATTAAAACCATTCATGAGCAATCAAACTGAAGTGGTAAAGCTGCCAAGTCTTTCTGCCTCCCTCCCCCTCTGCTTCCATTGATCCCTGGCCTCTTTTCCCCCTTTTCCAGGTATGCAACAGGAGAACAACCTGAAAATCCGAATAGAGCCAGGCTTGTTCGAGTGGACCAAGTGGGTCTCTGGGAACACACTACCTGCCTGGATCCCCCCTGTGGATTTAGCTGCAGCTACTCTAAGCGTTGATACAACCTACAGGTAGCAGAAAAGAGGGGAGGGAAAGGGTCTTTTGTAAGTTTGAGCAGTGCCTGGAAGAGCTTCTGAAGCTCCCAAAATAAACTCAGAGCGGGTTCCAAGTTTGGGTTGGAAGGGACCTTAAAGCTCACCCAGTTCCACCCCCTGCCGTGGGCAGGGACACCTTCACTGTCCCAGGTTGCCCCAAGCCCCATCCAACCTGGCCTTGGACACTTCCAGGGATGGGGCAGCCACAGCTTCTCTGGGTAACCTGTGCTAGGAATTTTTTCCACAAGCATGCCTAAAGAAACACAAAGGAACATCTCCACTGCAGGAGGAGCACGAGCCCACCCAGCTGCCTTCACCAAGTCATCCCCATCATTTTTCCCCAATTATCTCACAGCAGAAGGGTAAATATCTCATTCTCGAAGCTTAAAAATCATCACAGAGGTCCTGACACAAGTTTTGAGGTCTTAGGGAAAGAGGAGAGTTAAAGAACAGATCCTTTGAGATGAATCATAACCTGCACTTCAAACTTTATTGTTTCTTCCAGTTTACTGTGTGTGTTTTTTCTGCTCACAGACCTCATATTCCTGTCAGCAAGTTGGTGGTTTCTGAATCTTATGACACCTACATAAGCAGAAGCTACCAAGTAACAAAGGAGATCATCAGTGAATGTAAAGGCAAAGGTAAGTGCGGCAGAGAGGGGTGAAAAAAATGAGCCAGGCTGGCTGGGATGTGAATGCCAATATTCCTGACCAGCCTTTCCCTCTTAAAGGGGGGGAATTCCCATACCTGAATCTCTCCTCCCTCTCCCAGAGGCACTGCAATGTCAGAACTAGGAGTTGAAATGCATTCACCTTATGAGAAAAGCCCATAAACTCAACTAATGGGGGTATTTTAGGAATTCCTACCCAACCCAAGGGAATAAATGAGCTGTTTGCACTCTGCTGTCTGTCCCCATCAGATGGGGAGCATCTTCCCTCCCCTATCTGAGCTCCTCCTCTGAGATATATCCCCCATAAAGACCTTAAAACGTTTCTCCAAACACAATATTGAGATTTAAAAAAAAAAATCCCTAGCTGTTATTTTTTGTTCACACCATAGAAATAGGACGTTTCTAAGCTCTGGTGTTTCTACTCATTTCATCTCACTGCTCTGTCTCGAAGCTTTTACTTTAATGCTTTGCACACAAAACTGTGCAATAGCACAGTGGGGCATTGCTTTGGGAAGGATCTTGGAAATGGAAACGTAAAATTACCACAGTGGAAAAGCAGCGACTGGAATTAAAAGTGTTGCTTGTAACAGGAATTCGTGTTTGTGTAGGCAAAAAGCACCTGCTTGACAAGAACACAAGAAATCTCACTGCAATCCTTGTTTCCTTCAGAAAGCATCTAAAATCAAGCAGCACCGAGTCAACCGTTATCCTGAAAATTGAGAAATGCTCTAAATATGTTAATAAATCGCGTTTTTTCTCCCTAATGCACAGCTTGATGTGTTGTTAGGTGATAAGTTGAAACTGTTTTTTCCGACAATCTGCTTGATCTTGTGCGCCGGTGCCTAAATTTGGCTCCACCTGCCTCCTGAACCCGTGTTTCTCCCTGTATTTCAGGAAATAACATCCTGATAGTGGCCCATGCATCCTCCCTGGAGGCCTGTACCTGCCAGCTCCAAGGGCTGTCCCCACAGAACTCCAAGGACTTCGTGCAGATGGTCCGAAAGGTAATTCCCACCAAGGAGCAAAGCTCTGGCTCTGCAGAGAGAAAAGTGATTTGAAATCTGCCCAGCCAGGCAGGGACACCTTTTTGTGCCCGAGTTCCACTCATTTCAGGACTCAGGGGAGTGCAGAAGGTCGGTTTGAGGGGCTGATGGTCCGAGAGTGGCACTGCTGTAGCGGTGTGGGGTCAGGTGCCCACCTGCAGATGGGCTGGCAGTGACTCCCGTGTGGCTTTGTGGGCACCAGAGACTCCCACAGTGCCCAAAACACCCTCCCCACAGTGCCCAGGGCACTTCTGAGCTACACTTCACCCCTGAGGGCAGCTCAGCTCAATCCCTACTTATTTTTCCATCTCTTTTCCCGCAGATTCCGTACTTGGGGTTTTGTTCCTGCGAAGAACTGGGAGACACGGGAGTTTGGCAGCTCACAGACCCCCCCATCCTCCCTCTCACACATGGACCCACTGGAGGCTTTAACTGGAGGGAAACCTTACTACAGGAGTAGGCAAAGCCACCCCAGCCAGGAGAACCCAACCCACAGCCTTTGGAAGCGTTAGAGAATGTCTCTTCTCTCTTGTGTTTCACTGACAGTGGAAAAACAGTCATACCATGTCCAGGGGGGTCACACAAAGCAGCTGTTCTGGTGTTACCTCACACAGCCACAGCCATGCAAAGAGTCTCATCCACAACTAGAATACAAAAAAGGGGACTGATTGGAGGGAAAAAAAAAAAAAAGGTATTAAAATACAGGTTGGAAGGTCTTGCACAGCCCCAGAGCCTGTGCTGAGCCGTTCTCCCACCTGGCAGGGAGCTCTGGGGACACTTTCACTGCCATCTGCACCCCGTTAGGAACACGTAGCACTGTGTCAGTGGAGTATTCAGGATGCTGGGGCTGGGTTGGTTTTTTTTTTCCACTGCTGTTTTTGCAGAGCATTAGCAGGCTTGTCCAGCACCACGTGTGAGCCCCCCCCCCCAAATTCTCAGCACCTTTTTCCACCACCACCAGCTGCAAAGGAGGGTCCAGCACCAGGTTGTTCCTCTCCTCTGTCTGAGCACTGTGGTGGGGGTTGTGCTGGATGCAGAGACTGATGGATGTTGATCTGCACTGCAGGACAATCCCAAATTTCCCATCAGTTATGGATGAATTTTGAGCATCAAAAGTTGTTGTGAACAAAGACTGGGAGCAGCTTCTTTTAAGTGGAGATAAAATAAGCCTATTTCAACCCAACCTGGAGGGCTTAGAAAGTTCAGGGTTGGGTGGTTTTTTTCCCTTTACTTTGGTCATTGAAATCCACCCTTGTGCACAGACACAGCCTAAAGCATTTGTGCCATTTCAGTTCCCTTCAGAAAAGGCTTTTCCCCTTTTATACTGAGATTTTGTGCTGCTCATTTACACAGGGGTGGCTTTCTGTCGCTTGGGAGATGATGTTTTTTTTTTTTGTCAGCCCTGGTGAGATTCTGCAGTAAGCAGCTTTCTCCAGGAGGTCATGATGGACTCAAAAAGATGCTGGAATTCAGTGCTTTGCTTCCTCATCCTTAATTTCCAAGTGCCATGTGTCATAAACACAAAGCAGCTGGAAAAAAAAAAAAAAACAGTACAGTTAAATTTAGGAGCAACTTGCTTTGGCCTGTTAAAATGCTATTTATCCAGTGGGGGAAAAGTTAGGATTTTGGGAGAAGGGGAAGAGGAGAGTTTCCATCTTCAACTAAAATCTTTGGAATCACAAGAGGGGTCCTCCTGGTGGAAGAGCCTGCAGGATGCCAATCCCAGCTGTGTCACAGGAGGATGCAAAATCCACCACAGTGGGTAGTTTAGAGAATAAAGTGGCATCAGAGCACAGTTTTTTTTTTTTTTTGGATTAGAATTATCTAAGTCATCAGCCTTGGATGAAAATGTTGCTGCAGACACTTGTATGGATCTCATCACTGTCAGAAGGTACTTAAAAATGTGTTGAAGTGGGATGAAAGAGATTTAGGCAAAGCCCTTTCTTGGTTTGAGCCATAAATCTGAGTATTCCCAGAAACAGAATCATCCCAGAGTGGTTTGGGTTGGAAGGGACCTTAAAGCTCCTCTCATTCCACCACCCCTGCCGTGGGCAGGGACTCTTCCTACTAGACCAACATCCAGCCTGGCCTTGGACACTTCCAGGGCTGGGGCATCAACATTTCACTGAGAAACAAAGAGTAAAAACAAATTAATAACAAAAAATAGCATAAAAAGATGTTCAGATGTACCAGGAAAGACATTCCAGCATCCTTCTGTCCTGCCTTTCCTCTGCAAAAAGTGTCAGAGCCCTCACTTGAGACATGTGAGTGGCACACAGGTCAAATTTGATGCAGGTTTAATATTCACAGATCAGAGCTGGCTTTGTGGTGATTTATTTTAAGCTCTCCAGCCTTCAGCAGGACTGCTCTCACCTCCACCAGGACACAACCAAGCTGCCTTCCCAGCAGCCAGAACGAACCAGGAGGCACAAACTGCAATTCCCTCTTCCTAAAGGAGGCAAAACTGGGAGACAGCAAACCCAAAGGGGTTTAGCTCAGCTTCTCTTTGGGTTTGTGGAGCTTGAACACCAGATCCTGTACATATTTCCAGCTCATCCTGTGCAAAATCCCGTCCACTGGCACCATCTCCACGGGAATATTCTGGGGTTTATCCCTTTCTGACTGTGTTAACACACCGTGGGCCACTTGTAAGTGCATTATTATAGCAGGGATGTAACTGCAAAGTCAGGGAGATGATTCATGAGGCGACAGAGCAAACTGCTCCTAGCCAGGTTAATTTTTAATTGTAATTTAAGCTGGTTTTGGCTGTGTACAGACACCCTGAGGAGCATCTCTGGCTTGTTTTCCTCCATGCTTAAAAAACTAAAAGTAGTTGACAATCACACCACAATAAATTTGGTTCCTGATGTGGAATTCTCCAGGTGGCTTTTTTGTTTCGTGCTGGGGGCCAGCAAGATGTAATTTGGGCAATAAATAGTATTATAATATCTATTGCCTGTACAAAGCAGTGGAGGCTGCTCAGGCCCTGCTGCAGTTAAGTGACATTAAAAGAAGTTTGGGGTTTTTTGGGTTCTTTTTAAGCAGAAGCATGAAACAGAGAGGGAACAAAAACCTGAATGCACAACTTGAACGAGGTACAAGCTGCTCTTTGCATATAGTAATATAGAAGAATGTTCTGTTGGAGAAGGTAGTGGTAAAATACTCTCTTCTTTAAAAAAAAAAAAATAAAAAAAAGTATATTTTTGGATGTTTGGGAAAGTATTTTGACAACTGTAGTCTCGTCTCGAATTAAGTGTCAAGAAAGAAAAAAAATCTTATTTTCTTCTAGCATCTCGATTTCTCTTTGGGGTTTTGTGTTGTCTCACGTTGGTAAGGCTTATTTGTGGGGGGAAAAAAAAGAATAAAAATTTTTTCCTTTTACATTTTTAATTGAGAAGTTAAGGGTACAAGACAATTGCTGCTTCACTTTCACTCTGTTGCTGCTCATTAACGTGTGTTTAAGTCACTCCAGTGTTTTGTCCTAAATTTAGACTTGAATTTGATCTCTGTCAAGTCTCTTCCTTGCCTGCACTTTGAGCTGCATCAGATCCCAACAGTTTCATCAGGTTGTAGGAGGCAAACAGTTCCCAGATTTTTCCCTGATTAGGGAATAAAGCTGCCAAGAATAAATTGTTAACCCAGTATTTTCATGAATTGCAACTTAGGGGGTGGGTTGGGAAAATGAAAGAGTCAAATTGACACTGTAACCTGAAATCACAGAGCTTTGCTTTTTTATGCAAACTGAGGATCCAGACCCTAATAACTTTAAAAAAAAATAAATCATTATTTCCCTTTTCTCTCAGACTGAGCAGTTTCAGGAAGAAGTTGGCTGAGGGCAGGAGCCTCCTTGTCCCCTCTGATATTGGATTTTAATGTCAGTGTTACTGTGAGAGTGATAATTTTTATCACCAAAGAATGAGTTTGGTTTGTGGTTTGGTTTGTTTCTTAAAGAAAAAAGAGCCTGAGCACACAGGAAATTATTTTTAAGTTAAAAATACACATGAGATGGTGGTGGGGGCAGACATGCTTGAAATGGTGAATCAATGAAGAAAATAAATATAATTAAGCAGTTGGTGTGATTGGCTGCAAACACCCTAAATTGCTACTTACTGCTCACCACTTCCTCAAATACTTGTTCCCTGGGGAATATTCATGACCTGCACATGCTTCCTGACACAAAATACACAGCCAGTTCCTTTATTATTTCCCATTCAGATGTATTTTCTGAAGTTTCTCTCGGTGACATCTGTTCAAACTTGATGTTATCGACTTTTTTGGTGTTTCATTTTCAACCTGTTGTATCATTCTGTTTATTATATTTGTTTTGGTTTTTGGTTTTTTGTTTTTTTGTTTTTTTTTTAGTGTGAGCAGATTGTATTTATTTGAGGGAAAAAAATGTTGTTTGCTGTTTAAAAAAAAAAAAACCACAATAATTGTATTGCCAAAAATAGCTGTAATTACCTGTGACATCTGTATTTTTTTATTTTGGGGGTGGGAGGGGAGGGTGGTTGGTTGTTTTTAATCTCAGTTTCAAGTGCTAACAACTGTTAAAACAACCACTGCAGTTTAATTTGCTTCTGACATTAAATGGATTTCTCGGAAAGTCGGACAGAGAAAAAGCCTCGCAGGTGATTGAATAAAGATGCCAAACACCCTTCCTATTTCAGTTTTCCTCTGGAGTGTTGCTGGAATTGGAGCCGCGTTTTGGTTCCCTGCGCTGCTGGTGAAGTTCATCCATTTGACAGCAGATGGCACAAAACCATCTCGAGTTTTCCCTCCGGTTTGGAGTCTCAGCTCCTTGTTATGCCTTTTCCTCCCCACTTATTTCACGTGCGGAATGGGGGGCACAACTCCTGAACCCGAAGCACTCCTTACTTTAATTCGAATTTTTTTTTTTAATCCACCAATAGTTTTATCAGACAGAGAAACTCTTCCCTTTCAAACTCCGTGAATTCCTGACCTGCAGCTCTGTATCCCAGTAAAACTGATTAACACAGGAGCCATAACTTCTATAAATCAAAGGTACACTAATAGAATGATGCACTTCCCTGCACCCGAAAGTTTAATGGAAACAGCTGATAATAAATTAGAAGCCAAACCCAGTAATGCATTTATAATTAACCATTTTGTCCACTTCCCCCAAGCCCACATCCTGCAAGTGCACACAGCTTTTAAGCCATAATTCTTACCTTACTAAATTGAGTTTATTTTGACAGTAATAGCCATTTACACTAAATTTTGGGCAGTTGCAAAGAGAGCCCAGAAGAGGATGTGCCAAAGCCTTTTGGCAGTCACCACATGGCTGGTGGCTACACCATGAAACACATGGATAAATCTTGTGATAAATCACAGACTCAGTGGACATGGAAAGTTTTTCCAAGCCTCAGATCACTCCTGAAATAATCAGACCTGCAAGGGGAACCCAAACTGTGCCACCAGTCCTGTGGGACCTGCCCACTGTCCCCAGCCCTGCAACCCAGCAAAATTACCTTTCCCTCGTTGTTTCCCCAGGATCCCAGCAATGAGAGCCAAACAAACCTCCTGGGGCGAGAGCAGAGTGACCCAAGGACTTTTTTTTTTTTTTTTCTCCAGGGATTTAAACCACACAGATGGGTTTTCAAGCGACTTTGACTTTCTGCTGCCTCCCCATTTTTTGGGAATTAAATCCTGGACACAGTGCAGCTGTGCCATGGCTCTGCTAACCTTTTCCTGCTCCCCCTCTGTGCATCTCCGCCCTGAGGCAGAGCTGGAGGGGGAGGTCAAAGTGAAGTCCCCCCATCCTGTCACCCACCAGTTTCATTTTTGGGACCTGTGAGGTCACTGAGTTCTCAGCAGTCGCCAACACACGGGAAATGTGAGGTGGGGGGAGAGCAGAGTGGAACAGCAGCCAGAAGGGAAGGGGCAGAGACCCTGGTGGGGATGAAGTCATGGTAAATCTGCCCCCCACACACACACCCCATGCTGAAAAGGGACCTGCTGCTGCTGCTCAGCAGAGAGAGGAAGCCAACACTGCCTGCACCCAGAGCACAGCATGAGTGTCCCCAGGGTGCTGCACGCCGTGGCTCTGCTCCTCCTGCAAGGTAAGCCCTCTGGATTATCTCGTTCCATCTCCCCTTTGCACTTGGTCCAGCCTGGACAGCTCTGTTTCCAGAGTTCCAGCACCCCAGGCAGCTTTGCTGTTGATGCTTTCTGGTTGATAGCGAGATATTGTCACCCCAATGCTGAGTCTCAGCTGGCTCCTAAAGCCAGGATCTACGAGGCCAGGTCACCTCCTATCAGCTGGTGACATCCTTGAGGTCACCAAGGATTCTCCCTTAAATTTGGGCAGTGGATCACTGCTTACTTTCCATGGCTTTTGGATATCTGTGTATGCCCCTGTGTAAAGAGAGGCTGATAGAAGTCAGAATAATTAAGAAAGCACTTTAAATGCTCAGTCTCCTTGCTCCTGCTAGAGGACGTAGCTTATACCTGCTTTGCTAATCTCCTGTCTTTCATACACAGGAGAAGTGTGAGAGATTCATATTTGACTGTG